TTTTTTTTTTTTTTTCTCATTCTTGCAACCTTTTTGAAATTTCAAGAAATTCAGAAATGGACTGTTTCTTCTTTTTAATTATTACTAATACTTTCTTTCATTGAGTTTTATGGAGTTACGTACTTTGAGAGAGAAACAACTTTATGCCTGTTCGTTTAATAACATGTATATGTTGTCCGCTCGTGTTTATGTAATTTGTACATATTTTTATTTCATTTATAATGATTGATAACTTCAGTCGATGTGTGCGAGATTTTTGACTGTATTGAGATGAACAGAAATCAATTCACACGTATTTAGTATACGAGGAACATAAATGGCAGCACTTAAATGTCTCCGTTGTTTTCGGAAATGTGGATAAACTTTGTTAATAAAAGTTGTAAAATTAAAATATTTCCTAAAGTAATAGTTTTTCGATATATATATACACACACACACGTTATACTTTTTTTCTTTTTAATAGAGAATGTCGCGCTGTGTTGATTAATGATCAAAAAATATTATTTCGCTTAAGAGAAAATGCAAGTGACCTTGAACTCTTCAAAACTTTTTAAACTTATTAAACTTACAAAAAAGTTACACATTGCTACTGTATTATGGTCCCCTTGCTACTGAATAATCTTTATTTACTAAATTAATTTTTATTATTAATATTTACTTTTTATTCAAAATTTATCCGTGTGTTTAAAAATAATAAAGACATTTAGGTTCCCATTTATGTTCCCCATATATATAGTTTTAATTCGTTCACGGATATATGAGTATCAAAATATGATATATATAAGTGGATATACGAACGTATTCAAGTCTCATTTTGTGTGTATAAGAATTCCGGAATTCATAGCTTCTGAAACCATATTTTTTTGATTATATTATGAAATTTTCCAAATATCACAAATATTGTAGTAACATAAAAGGATGACCTGTTAATTTTCGTTTACATCAAGGAACAAACAATTCCTTAAATAAACTTCGCCATTTTTCATTTTTATTTACACATTTACTTTTCTTGTACATTACACAAAATAAATTATAAACTCGAATATATTAGTACATCTCTGATCTGCACATCCGTCTTTTTCATGTATCCGTAATTACACGGATACATTCGTTATACGTGTGTTGTCAGTTCAGAAATGAAAGTGAATTCGAAGATAATTTGGCAAACTTCGACAATCACAAACGTCCTTGATCGACTTAAAGGTTAGTTTCACCTGCTCGTAATATCCCGCGGCACCTAGCCACGAGCGAAGCCTTCAGCTTCAATTTGTAATTAAAGTTCATCCTGTTCATCCAAAAAATAATAATAATCGGATGGAAATTCAATTTCTATCGTAGGAGAAAGGAGAGATAAAGTCAAGGGTCGATCCGAGGTAACAGAGACGTCGATAAAACGTCTGAGCGAATTCAGAGAGCGATCGTGGCACGTCGCGAGGGAGGAGAGCGCGAAACCACGGAGGAGAATGTAACAGGGATCATCGGGGGCCACTTCTCGGCGGTTGTCGAATCGGCCAACGTGAAATAAGCGACTCGAAACGTGGATGATCCATCGTCGATGGTCAGAAGCCGGGGGACATTTTTTTATCGATAATCATAGCCTGCGTGCTGTGTGTAACGTAGAAATCGTCGGGAAACGTCAGGATTGGTTTCCTTCGACGCGTACGCTCGCTCTTTTTCCGCGATGGAAAACCGCACGACACCAGACAGGGGGGGGAGGGAGAGACTGTGATCGACGGTTGTGCGCTGAAATGGGAAAGTTTCACGCGAGCCGTGAGCTCTGCTCCTCGGTTTACGAACTTGGTGCTTCGCCGTCGTACGTGAAGTCCTTGATGAACAGAGTTCGCCCGTCCACCGCGTAAACTTCACCGCTGACGCCGTGATGAAGTTCCGACAGCTTGCCAATAAGCTTTCCGTAATAAGCTGCGCTGCATATCTCTGCAAAC